AATGGTAAACTATCAAATTTAAGTGATGTGTCGGAAATTTCTCAATCTGAAATAAATGAAACACAATAATTTATTGGTAGAAACTTATTATAATATATTTATATAAGCAGGTGCCTGGTAAGTAGTTAAACCTAAACTGTAGGTATAATAATAATAGCTATTCATATTTACCAGAATTTGAACTCGAAACTGATGCTTTTCGTTGGTTTCTTTTTTTCTTTTTAAATTCAGTTTCTTCAGCGCACGATGAAAGGTCAGTATTAATTTTGCTATGTTACATTTTTTTATAGCTTTTGTATAATTGTCTACAACATGAAAAAAATTACTATAGTTACCTAGTCTATGTAGATAATTTATTAACTACTAACTATTCATATACAATCATACAACAATGAAGAATTTAAAATATTATACCTACCAATTAGACTGGACATAGCACGAGCCTCAAAAAAGTTAAATTCCTTTTTATTTGCTTTTGTCTTAATTCTTACCGCTCTTTCGACATCTATTTTTTTAGTAAATTTTGGCCATCCACAAATACCTTTTTTTAATATTTAACCATTTTTGAGGAACCACTTCCACCGTGTCGTCCAATATAAAATTAACTACGAGCCACATGGTACAACTTTTAACGTTTGAATAAAATCTGGAACCATATTAAAACAAACAATATTGTGAAATAGGTATAAAATTATTATTTTATTTTAGGTTTATTATACTTACGAAGCCAGTGAAATGTTGTTTAGCTGAGGGTGCAACGGTTTAATTTAATTTATAAATTATACAAAAAAAATTAATTTTGTAATAACTGGAACAAAAATACTGGTGTAGCTGGTAGATAATAGATATTATAATAAATTCCTTTAAATGTGAGACAACCTTCTTAACCTCAATTGTTGATGCATTTGGTACATGATTATTATGTTTGATGAACTTCACGATTTTTTCGTTAACAGCATAAACTCGACCTTTGCATTTCAGTTTTTTGCTTTCGGAGCATTTCCAATACACTTTTTCATTATAAATTTTTTCTTGTGTATTTAAAAATACTTTATATTGTAACATTTTTTAATTTTTTTCACTGTTTACATACACCAAACTCATGATGGCATAACTTTAAACGTGTCAAAAGTATTTGAAGTAGGTACACTATAATACTGAAACGATAATAATTTCGGATTTGCCATGCACCTTGTCGACGTACAATGTAAAATGAATATCGCGGTTGAATCCAATATTATCATTATATCTAAGTACAAAGTGAACCACGTCGACGTACTACAGCACTCGCATCTCTACTAATTAATACCTAGGTACTTAAATAATGTGATTGAAATCTTGTATACACTTTTGTGAATTGTTTTAATATACCTAACAATAAAAATATACGTACAACGTATCGGAAATTGCCCATGTTTATAATTTTATTTTATTTTATTAGTTATACGGACTTAGCCCTTCTTGACTTTAACAATACATATAAAAATAAATAAATATTAAAATAACTATTCTTACTCAAATTCCGTTTTTCTTTTATTATTAAAAGTGAAAGTGTTTAAGACTTGTTTCAAGTTTTTACTAACATAATTCAAACCGGTTGATTTATAATTTATAAAGTTTTTAAAAATGTAAGAATACATACTATGTAATATAGATAGGTAACTACTTAACATTTTAACTGAAATACCTACTGAACACTAATTAGATACTGAATAGTGAATAGGGTCTGTTATTTAGTTATTAGTTAAATAGATCCATGACAACAAAATATAAATACCTACACTTTATTATAGAACATTAAACAAGAACGAATTGCAAAATGTCTTAAGTCATATGAAGTCATATCTAGAATGGTGGTGATGTTTGTATTGGCATTGAATATTTTCTGCCTTTAGGTAGTATGTATAGGTACTTAACTTATTATTATTAATTTTGAATTGATAATAGATATTATTTGATTTTGAAAGTTTTTTTTTCAGTCCGGCCTTCCCTGACAACTTCCAAATTAAACTTATGAATTTATTACCTAAAAATCAAAACATTTCTAGACTAAAAAATGGTTGATTTGTTTATATTGATATTAAAATGGTTCAAAAACTTCAAAATAATTATATTTAATTTATTATGTGGTACCTATATTTCAAACTAAATAGCTAGGTAGGTAGTTAATTAACCTGAAAAATGTATTTTCATTTATCAAAAAGTCATGTTAGGAGGGACTCTTTGTACTTTCCTTTTAAGATAAAATTATATGTTCGCAACTTTTGTACATTTTGCCAATAAAAATAATATAGAGAAGATCTAAAAAAGAAATTGATTATATTGTAATTAGATGTACCTACCTATGTCGAGAATCATTGGTTTATGGTATAATAAATTCCGTAATTTTAAGGTAGGGACACACTATTATCACGTCGTTATTTCGTTAACTCACGTCACATCACCCACGTGGTTTGGCCACATTTGGTTACACAGTGTATTGACTTTCATTCAAGATGGAGTGTGCTAGTTCAACTAGTTCTTCTGATTGGGAATATGATTTAGACAATGCTGCTGCTTTTATCGTTATAAGTGAATAAAAGAAAAAAAGGCCAGAATGGGTTCACAAAACTAATACAAGACGAGAAGAACTTGGGGAATTCAATCGATTAGTGCAAGAGTTAAGTGAAGACAGTCATAGATTTCACATGTACTTCAGAATGAAAAAAGAAGAATTTGAAAACCTTCACGAGCTGATCAAAGACGAAATACATAAACAAAACACACAATTTAGAAAAGCAATCCCTTCACGAGAACGATTAGGAGTTTGTATAAGGTACACATTTAAGTGTATAATAAAATAATATAAAATACATGTTCATTTTTTTAATACAGTTCATTTAATGTAATTTATTGAAATTAATTTATGTTTATTATATATTATGTTGATAAACGAAAATTGTTTCATTAATAATTAGAAAATTTTATGTCATGATTCATGTTTAACATTTCCCCAAGTGTGGGCTTGTAGTGAGATTGAAGTTCTTCATATGTTGAATGCTGAGATGATGATGTAGTTGCTTCAGATGGAAAAGGAGAAGAAGTAGATAGAGAAGCTGTTTGGTTACTCGTATTTCTAATTTCCGCTTGGAGAACAGAATTACTTAACAATAATTTAATTTTAGCCTGTTCTACTGGTGGTAATGGTGTTGTCATTTTAGACATGTTTAGAAAAAAAATATCTGTTTCGTCCATATTTTCAAATACAGTAGGAAGTTTTGGTTTCATGATTTTCTCTTCTTGTTTCGCATTTCTTGAAGCTGCGTTTTCTTTCATTATTTCCAATATTTGATTTGTCGGATTATTATTATTGCTGTTGACTTTTTTGATTTTTTTAAGGTTGCTTAAAAACTTTTGCTCCAGCTTTTTCAGGATGTTTTATTTGGCCTGTCCCAGATGTATCATAATTTTCAAGTGGTTGTATATCCTGGACCTGATTCTCTATTCCATCTACATATCCCTCTTCTGTTAAGATTTCTTCAGTTTCATCATTATTTTCATTTATATCCTGCAGTGGTTTATCATTTGAATTGATATTTACATTTGTACCATGTTCTTCATTTAAAAATGAATTATTCAAATTACTTGTAGTCCTAAATAAGTAATTATTAACTTATTAAAATTATATTAAAAAAACTCTAAGAAAAAAATATGAATTATTTTCGTACATACTTTCTATTTTCTAAGTATGGTAAAACAAAAGACATCTGCTGTTCAAATTTCCAAGGAGCAATTTTTTTTGCAGCCTGTCCACTTTTTTTTTCAACTCACTGCGTTACAAAAACACCGTCTTAAGATATATTACCTAACGATAACAAAGTGAATCATTATGCTGACTATTTAACAGACGCGTACATTTCAGAAAATGCTACATTTCCACTACTTATTTGGGCAAAATCATCATCTTCGTTATTACGAACTACCAATTCATGTGAGTCATTCCATTCGCATTTTAAAGACAATTTTTAAAAAGAAAAACCAAATATATTTATGTGGCTCAATATTGTGAAATAAATTCTAACTGATATTTATTGTAAAATAAGAAGTATTCATTCTCCGAAAAAATCAAAAGACTACCGAGCAAACATTTTTCTCTGTCAATTTTTAAACTTTATTTGATGTTGCTAGTACCACTTTAGTCTTATGACTAGTTGGACTGATCTGAAGTAATGGGCTTTGTTGCCACTTGGGCTTGTTACGATGAAATGATATTAGCGCACTGCCTTGGATTCGACGGGTAGGCAACTTAATGTGCACTGCCTTGGAATGACCGGGTAGGCAACCAGATACGACGACGACGACGCTAGGATGGAACTAAAGATACTTAAAATCATTGCCGTTCAGAGGGGGGGGGGGCAACGGGACCATTTTGCCCCAGGCCCCATTGTTGTAATATTTTTAGGAGGCCCCCAAAAAGTCTTGATGTATAATAATTAAAAACAAAGAACTATCACCGATCACCGTTATTGAGACGAAAATTTTCTTCTTTGCGTCATCCACTTAATATTAATACTTAAAATAAAATTAAAATAAAATTTAACACTTATACAGTCATACAATGCGCGAGTAAGAGCATGACGTCCAGTCACGTAGTCAAAACAATTTCCTCCACCGCACCGCTCGTCTATGCCGCCGTTTCTACTTAATAATATTTTAATATATTAGTATAATATGTAGTATAG